ACAGCACTGATATATATAAAGTTTTCATACAGTTTAGAAATAAGGGGACAAAGAACTCTTTCAAATTTAACAGTTATGAAAGCATGACCTCACACCTGCTTACAGGACCTTTTCATTATTATAGAGTGAGAAGGTGGAGTTTGGGTTGAGGTTTTTTCCCTCGATAATAATGACCCATTAAAGCAGCACGTAGGTCATAAACAGCTTTTTTCCTCCTCTCATCTCTCTGTTTGGGTAAGTGGCTCCTAACTGAAACTTCATATTGATTTAGAATTGGGGTTGAAAGGCTCTATGTCATGTTGGGCTAATGTGTACAGCTATTCACCTCCAAAGATTTGGGTTGAAATATATCCAAGATTGCAAATAATGCAAGTTCAGGTATTTTGGTTAAACACATAATTTATATAAAATTATATAAAATTGTATATATGTGTGATATGATATACAATATAGAATCATAGAACAATTTTGGCTGTAAGAGACCTTCAAGATTGAACCCAACTTTTTTCTAGCCCTATCAACACCACTAAACCATGCCCTTCAAGGCAACATCCACCCTTTTCTTAGACACCTCCAGGAATGGTGACTAAACCATCTCCCTAGGCAGGCTGTTCCAATGCCTGACAACCCTCTCAGTAAAGAAATATTACCCAAATATCCAACCTGAAACTCCCCTGGCACAACTTAAGGCCATTTCCCCTTGTCCTGTCGCTCGCCACTAGCCCTTGCCCTGTCGCTCGCCACTAGGGAGAACAGACCAGCCCCTGCCTCTCTACAACCTCATTTCAAGTAGTTGTAGAGAACAAAAAGGTCTCCCCTCAATGTCCTCTTCTCCAAGATAAACAGTCCAGATCCCCCAGCTGTTCCTCATATGGCATATGTTCCACATCCTTTACCATCTTCGTAGCCCACCTCTATATCCTCTCCAGCACCTCAATGTCTCTCTTGTAGTGAGGGGCCCAAAACTGGATGCAGTACTCAAGGTGCAGCCTCACCAAAGCTCAGTAATGATCACCTCCCTGCTCCTGCTGGCAACATTACTCCTGATACAGGCCAGGATGCTATTTTTGGCCACTGGGGCACACTGCTGGCTCATGTTCAGCTGGCTGTCCATCAACACCTCCAGGTCCCTCTCTGCCTGGCAGCTCTCCAGCCACTCCTCCCCAAGCCTGTAGCACTACTGGGGGGTTGTTGTGGACCCAGTACGGACATGGCGTTTAGCCTTATTGAAACTCATGGAATTGGTCTTGGCCCAGCAATCCAGCCTGTCTAGATCCTTCTGTAGAGCCTCCCTACCCTCAAGCAGATTGACACTTCCACCCAGCTTGGTGTCATCTGCAAACTTAATAAGAGTATACTCTGTCCCCTCATTCAAATCACTGATAAAAATGTTAAACAGGAGTAGTCACAGTACTGAGCCCTGGGGAACACCACTCATGACCTGCCGCCAACTGGATTTCACTCCACTAACCACAACTCTTTGGACTCAGTCATCTCACAAGTCTTTCACCCAGCAAAGCAAATGCTCATCCAAGCCAAGAGCAGACAGTTTCTCTAAGGAAATGCTGTTGGCAACAGTGTTGAGTGCCTTACTAAAGTCAAGGTAGACAACATCCACAACCTTTCCTTCATCCAACCAGAGGGTCATCCAGTCATAGAAGGAGATTAGGTTTGTTAAACAGGACCTGCCTTTCATAAACTCATGCTGACTGGGTCTGATCACCTCGTTGTCCTACATGTGCTGCATAATGGAACACAGGAAGATCTGCTCCATCAGCTTTCCTGGAACTGAAGTCAAGCTAACAGTTTCCTGGATCATCCTTCTGTCACTTCTTATAGATGGGTGTTACACTGACTGACTTCCAGTCAGCTGGGACCTCGCCAGTCTGCCAGGACTGCTGATAAATGATAGAGGGTGGTTTGGCGAGCACCCCTGCCAGCTAACTTGGTACTCCAGGATGTATCCCATCTAGCCCCATAGATTTGTGGACATTGATGTAGAGCAGCAGGTCCCTGATCATCTTCTCCTCGATTGTGGGGAGGACGTTTTGCTCCTGGCCCTCCTCTCTTGTCTTGGGGACTGGCTTCCCTCAGTACAGGTGTTTAATTACTAAAGACTGAGACAAAGAAGGCATTAAGCACATCAGCCTTATCCTCATCCTTTGTCACTGTATTTCCTCCTGGGTCTAGCAGGGGATGGAGACTCTCCTTGGTCTTCCTTTTGTTATTAATATATTTGTAGAAGTTTTTCTTGCTGTCCTTTAATTTGAAAGCCAGAATAATTTCTAGCTCGGCTTTGGACATTCTAATTTTCTTCATGCATAAGGTAACATTATCCTTGTACTCATTGTGAGTGGCCTGCTCCTTCTTCCAGAGGCCATAAACTCTTTTTCCCTTGATTTTCAGCCAAATATCTCTATTTAGCCAGGCCAGCCTTCTATGCTGCTGGCTTCTTTTACAGCACATGGGGATGGCCTGCTCCTGTGCCTTTAAGACTTCCTTCTTAAGAAGTGTCCAGCCTTCCTGGACTCCTATACCTTTGAAAACTGACTCCTGAGGGATTCTATCAAGTAATCTCCAAGAAAAATCAAAGCTTGCCCTCTGAACTCCCAAGTGACAGTTTTGCTGCCCCCCCTCCTAACACTTCTAAGAGTAGAGAACTTAATTTCATGGTCACTGTTCCCCAGATGCCCTCCAACAGCCACATCTTCCACAAGACCTTCTCTGTTCACAAACAGGAGGTCCAGCAGGGAGTCTTCCCTTGTCAGTTCACCTACCAGCTGCGTGAGGAATTTATCCTCCACATATTCCAGGAACCTCCTAGATTATTCTCTGTCTGCAGTGTTGCATTCCCAGCAGATTATTTTGGAGGTTAAATTCTCCCACAAGAACATCAGCAAGTGACTGCGAGATTTCTCCCAATTGCTTATAGAAAGCTTCATGCACCTCACTGCTCTGAATCTGTGATTGGGGGAACTATAGCAGACTCCCACAGCAATATCAGCTTTACTGGCCCTTAATCTAATCCAAACACTCTTGATCCCATCATCAATATACTTGATTTCTGAGCTTTCATAGCATTCCCTAACATACAGAGCCACACCACCACCTCTCCTTCCCTGCCTATCCCTCCTAAAGAGCTTGTAGCCATCAGTTGTGGCACTCCAGTCATGTGAGGTATCCCACCACGTTTCTGTTATAGCCACTATATTATAGTTTTTCTGGTGCATCATGGCTTCCAGCTCCCCCTGTTTGTTGCTCATATGGCACGCATTGGTATAGATGCACTTCAGATGAGCTAATGATTCCAACTCCTTTTTGTGAGTGTGGGCCCTGTTTCCTACCAGACCCTTCTCAGGTGCTTCCATGATTTCTAAACATCTATCCCTTCCCTCAAATGAATTAGCAGAGTGAAAGTCCTCACTAGTCCACAATCCTACAAGCCCTGGTATGCTTCCTTTGGGCTTATTTCTAACAAGCCCAGTTATCTCCCCTTTCCCATTCGTATCTAGTTTAAAGCCCTGTCAATGAGCCCTGCTAACTCCTGCCCCAAAATCCTTCTCCTCCCTGGGTCAGGTACATCTTACTTGCCACCAGCAGGCCAGGTGTCTCATATATCAGCCCGGGAGTTTTCACAGGACAAGATGAATACAACCAATAAGACTTTTAGACCTTTTTAATATATTTTACTTATGCTGTGGGACTTCATATCCTCCATTCACTGCTTTTGAAAGACAAATTGAGGTCTTTTTGTTTGAATGTTGATCTTTGTGCCTTTATTTGCAATGAGGTTTAACTAATGCATGTTAAAATACCAAAATTTTACTCTGAGCTCATTTTTAAAGCTCATATTTTGAGAAACAATTCTTTTAAGAAGTATTACTTCTCGAACTAGGATTCTTTGGAACTTGTTATATATTTACAAAGGTTAAGTTACTTTCAGGGAAGTAATCACATCTTCCAAAATCCCAGAATTAAGTTGGCAGAGACCTCCTGAGATCATCTAGTTCAACTCTCTATCTAGCTAGATCAGGTTGCCCAGGAATGTGTCTAGCTAGGTTTTGAATACTTCCAAGGATGGAGACTCCACAGCCTCTGTGGGCAACCTGTGCCACTGCTCAGTCACCCTCACAGTGAAAAAGTGTTTTCCTGTCTTCAGATGGAGTTTCATGCTTTTCAGTTTGTGCCCACTGCCTCTTGTCCTGTCACTGGACCCTACTGGGTCTTCTTCATTCCCTCCTATCAAGTATTTATATACACTGGTAAAATATCCCCCGAGCCTTCTCTTCTCCATACTGAAGAGCTCCACCACGCAAACTGCCCTCATATAAAAGATGCTCCAACCTCTTAACTACCTTTGTGGCTCTGTGTTGTACTCATTACAAAGTCCATTATCCTTCTTGTACTGGGAAATTAATGTGATTATGATACTTAATACAAATAGAAGTAATGTAAACATTATACAAACTCATGTTCAAACATGTTCTGAAGAAAATTACCTCTTGTAGCACTCCAAAATCAGAAATATATGAGAAGCTCCTGACAAAGTAGGCAGTTTAGTGAGGCTATCTTAAAATAAAAATGGCTCTTGATTAATTTTCAAAATTTTTGCAAAGAATGTAAGCACTAAAATATTTTGGTTTTAATCAAGCTATTTTGTAACTTTCTAGTTTTATCTTAAAGTGCAAGAGTAAATATGCAATCTTTCTTAAATCTTAGAAGACAATACAAATAGAAGAAAAATTTGCAAAACTTTATATAACCAAAGCAGTAGTTAATCATGCTTTTAAATTTTTATTTTGTAGGTGGGAGAGGCGTTGAATTTCCTCAGACTGAACTTACCAGAAGGAGAGTCAAGGAAGCCTGATATGTCATCACAACAGCTCTAAATATGCGATTTTATAACATGCTAGAAAGATTCTCAATTTGATACCATGATCTCCCAGTCAGGCCCAAGTTCACTTAGTTCTATATGATAAAAACATAAAATAGATACTTACCTTGTCTGCTACCCACTTCTCAGGCTGTACTTCTCGGAAGTGTTTAACTCCATAAGTTCCTTGGACATATTTGCCTGACCTACAAATTGATGGGTCATACTTCTCATTTTTACGATACGAAGAAAATGGCAGAAACCTGAAATACAAGAATATTTATAAGTCAGTTATACTCTAGATGCTACAGGATCAATTAAGGGGGCTGGTTAGTTTAGTCAGTAGAGCGTAGCATTAACAACACTAAGGTCGTGGGTTTGATTCCCATTTGGTCCCCGTGTGTTGCCTGATCTAGTCGAGAGGTTGCGTCCCTGGCGATAGGGAGGCTGGATTAAAATGATCTCTAAGGTCCCTTCCAGCTTAGGCCATTCTATGATTCTAAATCACATATACCAATGCCACAGGAGGTGACATGGACACATGTTTCTGCTATTTACCGCTACTTTCTTAATGTTCCTCCTCAGTATTTTGAGAGGATTACTGCAATTTCTCCTATAGCTGTTTTTAAATTAAATTTGGAGCAAAGAGATAGAGAGTTTCTACAGGATAAAATCAAGATTTTCTGTATGAAGATATAACTTGGCTCATTTGCATTATTCACTTATTGCTCTGGCTATATCTGCATTCCCAGCTGATGGGACATGAGGAAAGAATGAGCAGGGTTCAATTTTCTGAGATCTGCACACTGACACCTCAAGTCTCACCAGGTGGCACAGTCTGTGCCAGCTGCCAGTGGCAGGGCAGGACCCACGATCGGGCCCCCCTGCCAGTGGCAGGCATGCACCACGCACAGATACAGAGCTCATCCTGGAGAACCTGCAACTACTTAACAAGCTGTGTAGGTCCCCCAACACATAACCTCAACCTAATTGTTCCATCAGGATGGAAACATCTCAAGAATTCTAGCAGTATAAGCATAAGCCAAGGTAAATTTTCTCCCTATACCTTAAACAGGGCATGCATCCTTCAATATCTACTAAACAAAGCTGAACAAGCCATAGTCTTAATCAGCAGAATAGAGAAACAGTACTGACAGCTTTCACGTATTGGCAGACCACAAAGCAAAGAAATGTTTTATTCTGGATTCACAGATCGTGTACTTGACTATCAAGTTATAATCATATCCTAATCAGCAATCTTTTGGAGCCTGATTCCTTCACCTCTGTTCGTACCTACGGTGGTCTCCCTGGTTACATAGTGCCATTGAACAGTGAAGGTCCAGCTGTCTGCTTTGGGCACAGAAGAGGTTTTCAGATAGTTGTCCCTAACTCTCCTGGACAACTATAGGTTTTCTGGGTAGGTTCCACAGCAAGTTGTATATAAAAAGGTGAAAGACATCTTTTAAAGGATCTGCAAGAGGCCCTACAAAGGCATCTTAGTTCCATCTGTTTAAGTTTGCAATAGGGTTATGAGAGCAAACAGGTACATTTTTATATAAAGTAAAATCTTGTGAATTAAGATTATCATTGCTGGTATCCTGTAAAAGCAATATGTATTCTTTATTCTACAAGTACAGGAAAAATTACCACACAGTAAAACTACAAATACATGCTTCAGAAGTTTAAAACATCACTTCACTGGCCATGACAGCAGGTATAGTTAATTAAAACCTTTTCCTAGTTGAAAACTGATCAGAATCCAGAGTCCTTGTAAGAGTTAGTCAAATTTTTTATAAAGATGGGGATTAAAATACCTTTCTCTGTCTCTCAGCCAATATAGACTCAGAAAATTATTTATTTGAACTAACTGATCCATCAGAAACTGTTTGAGTGTTTCTTTTTTTAAATTACATATCTTTCCACCTCATAAAAAGAAACTATTTTAGAATCTTGCCAGCTATATCAATTTGTTCTATCAAGTACCACAAGCAAATATCATGTAAAGTTAGTGAAAGAAAAACACTGAGTTAGCAGACTTTTAAATTATACAAAACCATAGTAGTATGTGTATACTCATGGGAAAGGACACTCACATAAGACAGATTATGGTACTTGTAATGCTAATTTGCACACGGGATGGACATCACACACACACAAAAATTAATGTGGCCCCAGTGTCCCAGAGAATACATCGAAGGTGCTGTGAGCCGGCTGCTCCACTTGCAGTTTTTATCACTTCTGAATTGCATTTTAATAGTACATTTTTCTTTTGTTCAGACATGAAAGAAAATTGGCTTTCTCAAGGGACTGGATAGCTGAGAAGACAAGGCTAGCAGTTTAGGGATTTGCCCATATATGCATAGAATTTAGTTGAGCCATAGCATACAAAATTCAGTATGAACGCTATGTCTGTAAAACTCATACACAAAACAGCAAAAAAAAACCCAAAACAAAACCAAAAAAAATCACAAACTTGAGAAAAGTAGAAGATAAATTATTCTCGTTTTCCATACAAAATTTTCTATGTAAAGGTGTTCATTTCACTGTGGATGAGCTAATCTTTGCCTTTTTGGCAAACAAATACTCAGAGTAATAATCTATGTTCAACCATGATTCCAAACAAAAAAAAATACCTATACTGTGATTCTTTAAGACACAACTAACTGTACGTCCTACATGTAGCCTAGCCCAAATATAATCTTCTGCATTCTGCTACAGGTCTCTTCCAGGATCATTAAATGAAATGTGTGCCATACAGCCTGGAATGTGTGTCTATGGCTGAGTGAAGATAATTAAGCCAACTATGAATTTTTGAGAAGAATATTGAATAATAAAAGAAATATTAAAATTGAAATTAAAGAACATCAAAAATATGATAGAGTATAACGGTACAAAGCAGTCCAGAAACTTTCTTGAATTTTCATCACTCTATGTGCATAATTAAAAAGAAGATGAAAACATTTTTTTTTGCTTTAAGTATGGTAGCCAAATTAATGGGAGTCATACAAAAGTCATTATACCCCCACAACCAATAATAATAGTAAAAAGCAATAGCACTGCAAAACACTTCGGTAATGGTATTGTGTTCTGTAGTTCTATATATACACCCGACACAGCTTTTCCCCAAATTAATGACAGTATGTGCCTTGAATGTGACAGAAGTGAGTGATGGAAGGAGAATAAAATTAAATTCAGACAATGGTATGATGCCATTATCAACTGCACAAGTTTAGATCTCTACAGTTTTTTCCACAAAAAGCTCACTCTCAGGATTCTTGTATCTGGGTTTCAGCTTTTCCTTGTGATTTAAGTATAAATTGAGAAATTCTTAAGAGGTTTTCAGTAAATATGACAGAGACAGAAGTAGCAGGATCAAAGAATTTAATTCCATACCGTGTCATAAAACATAGTATAGCCTTAGACTTTCCAGAAGTTGATGATTTAATAGGAGGTGAGCTTTCCCTGAAGAAATAAATCTAAAATTAAAAATTATTTCATTTTATGCAACTCAAAAGCTTGAATAAGAGATATGCCAGAGAATATATTCAAGAGGGAAAGCGTTGGGACCAAAAATGGGAAACTATCTCAAGTTCTACAAACAGCAGCATTACACATACAATACCTGAGGGAGGACCGGGACTAAAGCTGACAGTGTCACTGGCAGTGATGGCCAGCAGCACTGGTGCCAGGATCACACTATGTTGAACCTAATTAAAGAGACCTAGCCGCCTCAACTTAGTAGCCAGTCCTAGACCTGACAGCTGCTAGTGGTGTGTATTTAAATTTTGAAAGAAAATGCAGATACCCATTGTTAACAAAAAATAAAATTGCTTTCTCTCTCCCTTCAGTCATCCTATCCTGCTACCATTAATTTAATCTTTCTAATCCTTTTCCCCATATTTTCACTCCCTCATGGTCTTCCTTCCTGCATTCCTCACCAACCAGTTCTTCCTCCTGTTCCGCTTCTTTCACTGCAATATCTCTCACTATTGTGACAGGAGATAGAACAAGCCTTTTAGATGCTGAAGACTTTCCAATTGGATGGACTGAGTCAACAGAAGCAGCAGGAGGTACTGGGCTCTGATGCCTACAGCAATGTGAGAAGAAAAAGCAGCAGCACAAACAGGAAGGAGGATTTGCAAGGTCTATCAGTTACTGCTGGACAGCAGGATCCCAGTGCTATGTGGTACCCACCAACAGGACACAGTTCAGAAGCATGAACTTTTTCTTCAATTTAAATGGGAGCAAAAGAAGAGTGGTACTTTAGCACACACTCTGGACCTGCCCAAGAGACAAAACCCCAGCAATCTAGGAACACAAGCATATAATCCTGACACCACAAGTGCTTAAGACTTCACCCAGGCTTCCAAGAAAGAATTGTCAATAGATCTACTGTGAGACTGCCATACGTGCTGCACTGCATGGGCACAACAAGAAATACTAAAACCAGAGAACTAGAAAGAATATTCTGCTTATGTATTTTCTTAAACTTTCATAATATTTGTATGTACTGTGGATTTTTCTAATTTAGTAGTAAAAACACTACCAAAATTTTAACTCTAGATGTGTGATAGTGTTGCTGAATTTTTAAAGTGGTTCTATGCAATGGCAGTTCAATTCCTTGTTGTCCTGACCTAATTCAGATTAAACAAATTTATCTCACTTTAAAAGACCATGAACAATTAGCTCCAAGTTATGCTTCTCTATCAGAAATCTGTGGATATTTTATCTTTTTTCTTTTCTTTAAATAAAACGTAAAATGAATTTTAAGCTTTCAAATTACCGAAGTAATTTCTTCATCAAATACAACAATGTCTATGTTTTCATTCCGGGAACAAAAGAAAAAGAACAATGGTTTTTCATAGCAAAACAACTGCAGCAGGGCAGCCATTATTTAGTTCATAATGAATGCATATTAAAATCAAAGCATTATTTAAAAAAATATAGAATATTTTACTTAACATATGCAGTCAGATTAGCTTTAATGCAGTATTTTTGCCTTAAAAAACACATTTTGAGTCCGTTACTGCAAATATTATCTACAATAATATACTAAATACATACTTTTTCAAAAAATTATCAATCACTTTTATCCTAACATCAATAAATATAAGAATTCTCTGGACATTTTTGTTTAACCCCTGTCTGCGATAACATAAAGTGGCAAGGAAAAGCATGGTCTAGTTCTTAGTGCGGTGTAGAAAGTAAAAGAGATCTCTTCTGCAGCAAATTCTGGAACTTCTTAATTATACACAGACTTATTATCTGCATCCCCAGTGTTATAAAGTACCAGAACTTCATTAGAAAAATTAAGATGGAAAAATGAAGGCACTACTTTGTAAATTTCCAGTGGAAATTAGCTGGAAGAAGCAGAGGAATACTGGATCAAAAGAGGGTAATCATGCTTAACTGTGCCCTAGAGCACCCGCATGTATAATACGATTTGCACAGTAACTACCTCTCCTATTACTGCTTGTTTGGAGTATTCTGTGTTAATGGGGTTAGCTAATTTAGTATTTTAACTTAAAAAGACTCTGCTGATTAATAAATGTTGCACACTGTGCTAGTAATTAAAATAAATGGAAGAGTTACAAATAGAAGTTGAATTGTTAAGAAAACATTATCTGAAAATATATGATAATCCCTGTTTATCATAATACAATAACAAGTCCAGAAAATATGCAAATTGCTGAAGTTGCAAAGCATATGAAAAAGTAAGTATAATTTGAAAAAAGTTTTCAGATGTGTCATATTTGCATGACATAAAATGTAGCAGCCGTTTTCACTGCAGCTAAGTTGGAAATCAAGTAAAATCTTATAAATGTAGAAGTGAAAAGATTTTTTTAAATCTTAAGTCTAATCAAAGTGACTTGCTTTTTAAATATTGCTGCCATTAATATCAGGCAGCATAAAACACTGATGCTCTCCAAGTACAGAGCTTATTTAGATCATCAACTTCTCTGTAGGTGTACCTGTCGTGCACAGCACTGTGTAGCACTGAAGCACCTAAGCTGGTTTGAAGGAAATCATTACTTTGCTGAGAATAAGCCCACCAGGAGCTCGGCGCTGAAACGCCTGCACTGCATGCGAGAGGCAGGGTGCACACACATTGCACTCTGCTGCACACAAGCGACCCAGCGTGCTCAGGACTAGCTTATCTATCTCCAGTACAGCACTGGGCACGGGCACAGCCAAGGGTAGCACGATTTGCCTGATGTCACGCTGAAAGATTACAATGAATCAGGAAACCTCAGCCTTACGCTATTTCTGCGTTATCCGTGTTCTGTGACCAACGTATGTTGACTTATAAGGACATTTAATAGTATACTTTGAAGCATAAGGCATATTACCCGAGACAGACTCAAGCAAAGGTAATGAAAATAATTTACATTTTTCTTTTTTGTAGGATAGTAAGTAAATGCAGGCAGGAGAATAAAGAACTTTTCATGTTTAGCGACCTAAATCTCCTGGATCCAGCAGTTGGTGTCCCAAACTAGACACTAGTTTATTAAGTGGCTATCCCAAAGGAGTCCGATTGTCATTCCTATCCAAATGGAGGGTGAAATTGCTTCATTTGTGTGAAAAAAATAGCACAATAAGGCAGTAACAGCTTCAGTTACATGAGAAAAGAGAATCATCCTTATTAGGCAAGGTTACCCAGTTGCCTTTTCACTACAAAATAGAAAATTCTGTCAGTTGATTTAAGTAAGCACAACGTTCCCTCTTGCTCTCATTTGCACTGCTTCCATCTGCCTCAAAGTCTCCCTCAGCTTTTTCAATTATTTCTGCATTTTATCAGTCAAAAACTTTCTCAGAGCTTGAAACATGTAGAGAACACATAGTACCACTTGAAAGAACCCTGAAAATCAGAGGTAAGTGGGAACTCCAAATAGTGTTAGAAATGGCAGGTATACACTGATGATTTTTGTTTTTAAGAGATATCTCACAATATTCACTCTTGAAACATAGAGATCAAGGATTCAGTTTGTTATTTTATGCAAACATAAGCTTTCTCAACAATTGCCTCACACTTCTGCTGTTCATTCTCTCCTTATTTTCTAAAATAGAAGAATAATCATCATAGGAAGTACTACCAGGAAGAAATACAGTCCCAAAGTACACAATTACACAGAAAGAGACAGAAATTTGTCAATTCATAATAGACACTGCTGAGAAAAATCTACTGTAGAATTCAAGTAACCCTTTGCTGACTCCTCCCCGGAGACCGGCATCCCACACAGCAGCTGCAGCGTTACTGGCGAGTGCTAGTTCTGATGACCTGCAACTCTGTCATCACCTTTTCAAGGTTACAGATGTGACCCTTGCATGGCTGGTTGAATATGAAGCACAAACGGAATGATCACAGCCTGAAAATGTGTAATACACTATGCATTTAGCGTGCATGAAGCTGAGAATTGCTGGTGTTAGGACATCGCTTCTGTGCATTAAGGATGGCACTAAACGTTTTCTTACCCAGAAGGTAAATAAAGACTCCTGATCAATTAATGTCTATCAAAGCTGGAGACTTCAAATTTAAGCGGTACAAGACCGAAGCTTCACAATTCACTCACTGAAGAGAGTCAGTGGGATATTTATTACAAGATCTGACCTTCTGAAAATACTGACACAGCGATGTCTGCTGTAAACCTCAAATAAAGACTGGACAATAGAGTCATGCTTATAAATGACAGACATCATCCATCCTCACTTGGCATGCTTCATTCAAAGCTTACTCAGTGAAGAAGAACACTTAAAATGAGAGGTAGAACATTATTATTACCTAGTGGTTTAGTTGTGGTGTTTTGGTTTTTTTAATTTCACTGGTAGAAGTTAGAAATAAAAATAAATTAAATTTAACAAAAATGTCCCAGATTTAAAGTTAAGATGTGAAAGGTAAGTTGCTTCTCCCTCATTCCAATAAAAGAAAGGAACAGAAAAGTGAAGCACATTTTTACTTTTAGCTCAGTTATGTTTTGGGTATGAAAGGAATACAAAGTACTCTCTCTCATTTTTACCACCAAATAAAAAAAAAAAATCCAACATTGCCTGGAAGTGCAAAAGTAGTTGAACTAAAATTCTTCTTTCAAAACTGTTTTAAGTAGAATTAATACTAAATCAGGGGAAATCTGAGGAAAATGATCCAACAATAGCAACGTAAAATGCAAACCATACAAATGCAATTGATTCTGGCATTTTAAGTCCCAGTCATGAAGCTGACACATGGCAGCATGGATCTGATAAAAAAGCTTGAGAGAGATCAAAGATAGCAAAGCATCATGTCCTAATGAAACAGGCTGCTCATGAGGAAAAGCGGTTCCTTTCTGTCCTGAATTCTGCTATTAAAGTGGATTGCCAAGAGCAGTGAAATCAAGGGAAAAGTCAACAAAACATCATTTTTTTTCTAGTTAACTACAAAGCCAGAACAGGTGACTTATAAGGATTTTATTATGATTGGACAGAAGAGTTCCATCATGATTAAAAAAAAAAGGATTGGAAATATTTTTGCAGTAGCCTTGAATCTTTTGGGATGGATTATGTCTGCATCTGGGATTGTATGGAAAAGAATTGGCCTGTCTGACACTATTACAGATGCTACAGCTTAAGAAACCAAACTGCTTCAAAGACGATTACAGTTTTTGCAACATGTCCTAACATGTGCAGCATATGCTCCCTTCCCTTCCAAGTGAGCTTTGGTAGTCTACTGGGAGAGAAAGCAAGTCTCATTGGCAGGCAGCACCATTTTTTCCTCCCATATTCTGTAAACTCCCCAAATACAGAGACTGAGACTGTATTTTTTGCTCGGCAAGGTGCATGTCACAAAGCAGAATTTGCATTCGTTTCCTTATTTCCCATTAAGGCCATCTGTTGCACCACATATTATTACAAGTTCTTCTGTCGATTCATAGATGTGGATGGCACATGTCACACAATTACAAGATGGGGTCTCTGCCCTGAGCAGTTTATAATCTCAGGACACAGAATTTAGAAGTATGTACATAGAATGTTTCCTAGTAAGCTGTCAGATTTGACATTTCATTTTGTCAGGCATGAAAGGTTTCTGAAAGCAACGGAATAAAGAAAACATTCACATAACAATATATGAAAAAACAAAGAACTTACTCATTGTCATGTATACGGTTTCTCCATTCCTCCCTTTTCATTTCCTCTCTGGCCTTCTCTAGTGGCGAATTGATTGATGCTGCCACTCGCAAGGTTGGGTCCAAAGGCTTGTAGCGCTGCCTCAATACTTCGGCAGGATCACGGAAAGGCCCCTGAAAGGTATAAGTGCTTTATTGTGAGGTTACAGTTCTTTTCTTTCCTTCTTTTAGTTTGACACATCACTGATGAAAGAGGACACAGAATGTCTGGGAAGCGTAGCAAGACTTTTCTTGCAAAATAATTAAAGCAGTTCATCTTGATAGAGAGTTACAGATGACGCAAAGGTTGATAACATGCTCTAAAGCTCCAAAGATAGAATGAGAAATGTGCACTGCAGATTTATTTAACTACAAATAAATATTTATTATTTTAAAACAATACTTTGTTAGAGCTGATTAAGAAAACCTGTTTTTTCCTTAGAAAAAATACTGATGAGATAAAATCCGAGACACAAGTACTAACTGCATCTAGATTCTGCTTAAGTAGAGAGTTTAAGTCTTTTCCTTTTCATAAACTAAGTAACGTTTTACCTTAAAGATCACTTTTTTTACTCAATTTAACTATAAAGCCACCTGGAAAGGAACTAAATACATGACTTAAGACACAACTCTTCCAACACAACTCAAACTAATGACTTCAATAATATAAGTGTATACACTGTTCCACATTATATAGCGCAATTCCACTATTTTATAGTCTATATTTCACTACATACACTATATATGTAGTCTATATTCCAGTATTATATAGTCTAATTCCACATTAATTTAATTATTCTTTAAAAAAAAATGCTCAGACTTCTTTTACAAGTCTCTCTTTATGTACACATATATAATTTTTTCTTCCAGAGCATATTGTTTAATAAGGGAACATATCAGCATCTTCCTTTTAACCACACAGATAAGAAGCAGAAGGAAATCTTTTTCTGCACTGTCAAAGTGGCATATCCTACATCTTGTTTTAGTACCAACCAGTAAGAACTTACCTGCAGTATAATTACTGCCATACTATGCTCAGTACAATTTAGTAGCAACTCCAGATTTAGAAGTGCTATTAACTAAGTTTTATTTTAATTTCATTATTGTTGATCCTGCAATGAACTACTGAAACCTTCTGAAACAATAAGCAGACAAAGAGTCCCAATCACAGCCTTCATTCTTAAAGATATCCTTCTTTAAATAGGTTATCACTAACAAGTCACAGCTGGAGTTACTGCAAGCACTGAGTGAAGAGTGTGGGGCTAATAAAAAGAAATGATTCACGCCTCATTTATGTTCACTTATGTTTTACATTAATAGAAACCAATAATAGGAACCAGTTACCATAAAAGTCATGGACCGTAAATAACACAAATGGCAAATAAGTATCATCTAGTACTTTTCACAGCTGGACAGGAGGATTGCTATATTTGAAAGTAGTTAATGGATTTTTACAGGAACTTTACTTTTTAAAGGCACAGCACCATGATTTGGAGATCTTTTTAAAGGTCCTAGTAAGAAAGCAAGCACAATATTTACACTTCTTGCAGGTATTCTCTTGCTTCTACTTTCTAAGTCCGTGTAAAAAATAAAAACACAACAAAACCCCACTCATTTAACATGAACAATAAGTCTTTATAAACAGAATGAAAAGTGTTATTGCCTGTGAGAGAATAATCAATACTAGAACAGGTCATTAAAACTAGTAAGCAATATTCCTCTAATATAAAATCTCACAATCAAGTTATTTTAAAAGTTTACAATTTTTAATAAAAACAAATATTCTCCATTGTGAGATGTTTGCATGAAGCGGGTATATGGAACAAAGAAGAAAGAAATGTACTATTGTCAAATAATATCAAGATAAATATGTTTACTTTTCGAAAACAGTCTTTCAGAATATTGTATTTCTTCTTCATTGTAAAATATTGACTCATATTCCATCAGGGTAAGGGCCAAATCAGATAATCAAGCAAGGATTTTTTTTACATCTTTAATTTCTAGGACTTTCTAACTCTTTCTGAATTCATAGTTCACATGAAATTAACAGAGTCCAGCTGCTAATGGAAGGGGTGGGGAAAGAGGGTAACTAAGCAAAGGTCTCTCAAACAAGGCTGTGTCATCACTATTGAAAGTGGAGTATATATGACAGGATATTAAGATAATTCTAAACATTCTTTGCGGATTTTTCCATTCCTCTGAATCATGTATTTGAAGAAACTTACCTAGCAATGCGTACATAAGGAATATATCTAAGATGACAAGACCTCTAAAAAATCCATTTGTCTATTTCCATTTTACAAGATTAACATTTGCAGAATCTGTAGAGGAACGATGCTCACAAATGTTTACAAATTAGCAGTCCCTACTTCAAATCAAAAATCTTCCTAGAGAGGTCAGGCTAGAAAAGGAAGGGGTCAACCAATAGTTTTCACCCTGAAAGCACTGACACAATTCTATGTTCTGTGTTTGATTTTGTACTTAGTAGTGTAAATGTTCTTGCCAATGATTGGTCTGCCAAATAAAGGTTAGCAGATTAGCATCCTTACTACTGCACTGTAAAATCAGAAATTCATGACAAAAATTATGATCTCTATGAAATCATTCTTCACTGCCCCCATTCCAGGAAACGTAACAGCATGCAAAAAATCCCCTAGAAACAGCAATGTGCTTTCTGTTATTAATGCCATTTAATGAACAGATGACTAATTTTAGCATTATATATGTTTCCATCAAACTGTGATTTTAGTTAACTCAGCACTAAAAACAATAGATCTAACTGATGTATAAGCATCATTAAAACTTTTCTTTTAAATACACTATCGCACACACAGAGAGCTTACCTATAAAATGCTAAATAACCATTTCCCTACAATATATAATTGACATTCTCATATAAAATATACAGCCCTATGGGCAATACAAATTTTAGACACCTGAAAGAACAGTGAAGTAACAATAGAGTCACAGTGGGCCTGACAGATGTTAGAAAAACAAGCTTGGTGCCCAAAATGTGTTATCACAGAGAACTAGGACACAAATACATCTAGTAATTAAATTGCTTATGTCACACCAGACAACTTTCAGGATGATGCGTTCTGATGGGTTTTGCATTTCCAGCTGTTTCATCAGCTCAAACCAGTGTCCTTTTCTTAGACATACAACCCTAAATTGTCAGTGTGTTGTGCAGGGATTTAGCCGTGTGACTCCCATTAACATCAATAAGAGTCGCACAGCTAAATCCACGCGCTGTGCTTTGAAAATTTGCCCCACAGTGTACATCCCAGGGTGCTGAAAGGATTAAAGTATTATACAGTAAATTCCCTCTTTGAGGTGCAGGAAATAAACAGCACTCTTCTGGTTGTTCTGAAAGGCTATCTGCGCACGACTGCTGTGCATGCATCTGAACTTAGAAAAGTCTAAAAAATATTAGAAATCCAAACAGGAGCATGTATGGTACTTTGTATACAGCAAAGCAGTTTTGCGAGCAACTTAACAATGGAAAACCTCTGAGTTCCCTTGTTGTTTAAAAGCATGGCTCCTCTACCATCTCCATTAGGCTAAATCTTCCCCCCTATCCTGAAAGAGTGGCTCCACTGACAGTCCACTGAAGGACCCTTTGTTTCCAGAAAATAAAGATACGACATCATATTTATCTCAACTCCTGATCACCCAAACTGTTTGTTGGCTCACACTTTGTCTCGACTTTAATGTGGGTCAATGAGTTCATTCGATGAGGAAGCTCAAGCATTCAAGGTAGGGAGAACATAAGGAGGGAAGGACAAAGGTGGAGAACTGCCCTGAAGTTGATCCTTACTGTTGTACAGTGTGGATCTCTGTGTGGCTCACCTCTACTTCTCCAGACATATTCCGGCAGGCCTGCCTTTTCTTCTTGTGTTCTAACCCAACTGCCTTTTTCTTCATGTCCCACCACCAACAGAGACTTATTCTGTGACGAACAAGTCAGACATGACATAAAGGGGAGAAAAGCCTGCACTGTGTAGTTTAGCCAGTACAACCATGGCTGTCGCTGCTGAAGAACAATGTGGAGGCAATCAATAAGACACAGGCAAATTGTGGCAGATGCCACGTGTATACACAGTTGGAACCTAGTAGTTCAAACTTAAAACTGTGTTCAGATGACCTCTGCCAAGGGCTATAATAATATAGTGAAAATAACCATATTGACTCAGAGGACAAAAATACCAATAAAGATATTTTATACAGTGCTTATTGATCATTATTGTTGTTTAATTTTGCAGCTAAATGATAGCTTCAGTAAAAATTTACTGAGAAGGACTCATTTAGAAGCACTAATTTTCTAAGTAAAAGTAAAATACAGATGAGAAAATTTAAACATAAGCACTACTTTTCTAAGTAAAATACAGATGAGAAAATTTAAACATTGGTTGGAATATAGAAAAAAAAAGGTGTAAAAGGTTCTGAAGACATTATGGTCATTCAAAGTCAAACAAGAACTAAAAGTGTATGCGTGAGGTAAGTGGAAGGCCAGTAGACTGTATAAACTGAAAAGTTCTTCAGAATATACGGAAAGATAGAATATTCCTGATCCAAAATTAACAGTATCAAGCATTTACTGGCAAAAGGTGCATGTCATTATACTGTCGTCAAGTGAGGAACGTACACATCTCAAAAGTCTGCTGCATGTGTTGGGTCTATTCCCAGCAGGTTTTGATACAAAAGCTGTTTCATCAACTTGTGGGACCTTCATTCTGATGCCTTATCTCAGAGATCTCCACCACTTTGTAGAAGAGAAAAGAAACAGATTTTATCAGCAACATATGCTGACATTGATTGAAGTTAAAATGGAGACCATGACAGTTAAGAATGGGAGCTGGGGAAGTTGACTATAATGCAGAACAAAAAAATGGAGAAATTTTTATAATTAAGGCTGACACACAGCTAGCAGACACAAAAAAGCAGGAACTGTTCTATACTCTTCTTGGCCTTCATATGGAAAACAATTCTAAAAGGAAGAAAAAGTTATCACAGCTGATTAATTTATCCTATTATCTTTCATTTCTCACATATTTTTATTGATTTAAAATTGGAAATTAAAACTTCTACCTGTAATGAATCATAACATTGATATTCAATTATATCAGGTCTTCCCTGGGAAATATCGGAAATTACTTTTCTTTTTTCCCAAAGGATAAAAGTAAAATTTAAAGAATCATATTTCTTTGTCTTTACATAACACCTAGTGTTTTTTTTTCTTTAAGGCAAATCCGTCTCAAAGACTCTATATCCTGAGTGCAAGCACCAAATCTATATAAAAAACCCAAATCCACGAAAGGGGTTTTTGGACTCGGTGATCCAACTTGAGATGTTCTATGATAATCTCTGATAAAAGTTACAAAAAAAAGCTGCTTCAGACACTGAAAAATGTTACCTGAAGCTTCTGTTTGCCAATAGGTGGCAGAGGCTGTGCTGTGAAGACAGTCGGAGGTCTCCTGCAAGTTGGCCAGTCATAGAGCTCATAGGCAAAGGGACTCTTCACTTGCTGCCGTCTGTGGCTCAATGGCTTTGAGTTCTGTAACAGCAGTTCCATTGGATCTGGGAATTTTCTGAACGGTGAATTGTAGATGCCTGCAATCTGAGCAGAAGATGGGGTTATCTTTGACTTCAGCTAACTCAGAACTCATTCTTCCATTTATTCTGTAAATCAAGCCAATTTTAAAAGCCTATATAATAAGCAGTTCTCAAAAAAAACCTCTGGTGACTAACAACATGGGATAGATCTATAGTTTAAATGTATCTCTGGGAGTTGCATTACAGTTTCAAAAGGGTTTAAATAGGGTAATGAAATTTATAGTTTGGGTTTCAGACCTTCAAATGAGGATAACTTTCATTTTATGGAAAAAAGAGTTTCCTGTATCTCAAAACCATGATTTCTTACAGTCACATTGAATCTTCCACTTTCCACAGCAGTAGTCAAAGAAATGTGCCAGTTTAAAAAATAATTAAAAGTGTACACATTTGCACCTTGTTTTAAGGGCAAACTGTTATAGCTACTTTGAAATTTAAAGTTTACTTTAAATTGCAGTTTAAATTCCTATGTACAATAGGAAAAAAAATACATTACCTAGTATTTCCAAATATATACTTAAAGAATAAAATAAATACTAATGTAAGGGAACATAATTCTTGCCCCTTTAAACTCTGCTAGCTAAATCACAATGTGAACTAAGACAGTGGCAACTACAGCATGTTTAAAAGTGAGTATTTTAAAAACCGAGTGATTAGTTAAAGGGAAGTGCAAGAAAATTTATGGAATATCAAAAAACTAGTAATTTTTATTGTCCAACAAGTAATTCATATTTAATTCCTTTAACTATTCAAATGTATTTAATTTTAATAGTATAAAACTTGTGGAAAACAAAAATATAGAACACAAATTTCTGAATTGTGAATTAAGCTAAAAGATTCATTCTGCAGTAAATTTGATACTTCATTACTTTAGGACACATTATTAACTGCATGACTAGTGTAACCTAATATAACAATTAGTAATAAAAAGCATACTTTTCAAATTCTTAAATACTAATCTCCATCATTAACAATATGTAAATATGTGGCAAGTCAAAATTATGCAAGATTGTTCTTAAATCATTCCTATAAATGTAGGGCTTTTATCAGTTGTGTATAAATAATTTTCAAATTGACATATTGGAGTTTACTGAATTAAGTATGAACCCTTAAACATGAGAATTCCTAAACTGTATTGCACAAAGCCACTACATCTCCTATAAAACAGATAACATATGCTTAAGATACACTTGGCAAAACTTAAAGATACTAGTTGCTTTAAAGGTAATTACATTCTCTGCAAGAGTATACTTAGAGTATTCTTAAGACTTTTCAAGTAGATTTGCTCAGTTAAAATATATTGTCCTTTGCTTTTATCATAACTGTAATTGCTAAGAAGCATTGAATAAAAATAGTAGGAAAAAAATCTGTTATGTGATGTGGGGAAAGGTAAGAGTAAATGTTTAAAATCTTGCATTTCTCCTTTGGAACACTACTGGGGACCCAAGAGAAAACTAAGTAGAGCACCAGCCTCCTCATAAACTATTAATCTCTTGGGGCTGAGAGGATTGAACACTCCCCAATTAGCTCTAATGCATTTTTCATTAACTGAGAAGTTCCAATTTCTTGTGTCAAAACAGTTAAATAAGGCCCATATAAAACTTACAATTTAATGGACAAAAATATTCCAAGACGGTAGTTTATTCAAAGTATTGTTGGGCTATTAATAATTTTATGGTCTATATTCTTCAACTCTGTAAGTGATCTGGCCCTAATGACTATTTTGGCCCTCTGTTATATGTTACCGTCTTAGTGCCAACCCTGTAACCGAGTTCACTACGCTATCAGTTGAAATGTGTACTGGGAAAGAGGATATGAATAGAGATGAGTGGTAGAAACATATGCATGCCAAACAAGCACTGGTTGTTCCTTCAGCTCTCCAGAATGCCAAACTAAAAATGGCAGGGATCCACGCTTCAAAGAGCAGGCAAGCACAATCACTGGAGTAAATGCAAACTTGTAGACCCATCTGTGAGATCTGTAAAACCCAGCTGCATCTCAAAAATTTGCTTCTGCAAGTCTGGCTATTACCCACAGAAACATCTCATAAAGTTACAGATTCTCCTGATGCTGTTACTATTTTTGTAGTATATCATACATGGTTCTATTGCAATTTTCTTATCAGTCAAGTACATTTTTGCTTGTAAATATTCAGTGGCCTATAAGTGCTACATAAACACAAGTTCCATATGTTGTCTCAGGCTTTATTGCACTCTTCCACAATTATTGAATGCATTTATACTATATACTTGTTACACAAGTTCTCTCAAAAATAAAATGCCACAGTTAAGGTCTTCCATACAAATTGGATTCCATCCTGGAAAGCTACAAACCAAGTCTCTGCCATAGTCATTATGGCTCTTCACTCACTAGTCCTACCATGGCCATCTGGCCTGATTTCGGCTGGGATAGAACTAATTTTCTCTCTCAGCATCCAGAACAGGGCCATATTTTTGATTCAGTATGAGAAGAATGTTGATAATATACTGATATTTGTAGATGCTGCTATGAAATCAAGGACTTTTCAACTTCTCATTGATAGTGTGCAGGAGCTCAAGAAGCTGGGAGAGAGCGTGGCCAGGACAGCTGACTCAAACTAGACAAAGGGATATTCCATACCATAGGATATCATGCTCAGTATATAGACTGAGAGGAGCTGTCTGGGAAGGGACAGATCGCTGCTCAGGCATGAGTTTGGTTTCTGCTGTTTGGTTTTTGTGGAAAAATATATCCTGAATAATTAAAAAAAATTTCCTCTGAAGAATTACAGGCAAGAATAACTTTAAAGCTATGTGCTCTGGGCTCTAAGAAATGACACTGCTTCTGTTAGTCATTCTTGGAGCAAAAATAATTGGCTCCATGAGCATAATGACTTTCAGAAACTGCATTTTGCAATCTATGCTTAGATACGATGTACAGTCTACTTGAGATTTCTTTGTTTAAATGTTTGGCAGTAGAAAAATCTACAGTTCAGAAAGGATTAAAAACCTAGGAAATACTGCTGAATATCTCAAGGTACACTAATAGGACTGGCTTTTAGAACTTCTAAAGAAATTAAAATTAGCTGTAATAGGTGTAGGAATCCATTGATTCAATGTCTTTTGAATTTTGAAAAAGTATCTTAACAAAGAGACATCATTGGTTGTTCTTTGTACACATACTATCAGGTTAAGGACACAGTGCACAAACTATGAAAATACGCTTGGGAGTTCTAGTGAGGCCAGCTGGACACTTTAACAGTTGTCGTTTCTTCTACAGTTGAAAGTCTTTGTAAGATCTCGGTCAAAATTGATCATGAAGTCAACTTTGAAATAATAATTTTTCAAGTAATCCTTGTTAATTACATTTTAATTATATATGTTCAAGTATTCAAACAGAGAGATAGCAGAGCAATCAGCAGAGTTAGTATCTAGATAGATAAAATTAATGCTAATTTATCTAAATTCCCCAACGTTTGTGGTAAGGCTTTAGTCCTAGATTCAAAATTGGCAAAGTTTGGCAGGAGACAAAAGGTTACCATTTTGACTCTACTTTCAAATTCAGGCCATTCTCTGGCAAAATTGCTTCCATTCATTTGTAAATATCTCTGCAAATCAGGGTCGTATATTTGTAACTTTTTGCACATGTGCTGTGCGCTGATGGATGCCCTATTCACTCTGTCCTCTGCAGGGAGCTGGTGGTCTGCAGAAATCTAAGAATCAGGAGGATTAAATCCTTTGGTACTTAAAAAATTTGCATATCTTCTTGAGACCAGTACAATGTGTTAAAAGCATTACTTCATCCTTCCCTCTCAAACACAAACCCATTGTAGTTAATGATGCTTGTTCAATAGTAGAACTGTACCTATCTTGAGGTATTACCACATACTTTGATTCCAGTATTTTCCCCACTTTTAGTCTGTAAGAAAATATGTTACCCTCCAAAATACTATGATAGGTTACAAAAAGTACCTCTTGTCTGCAGGGAGAAGGACACATTTTTCTGTACTCAGTGCTCTTCACAAGAAGGGCCTCTGTCAAAGCCAGCTTTCTGGGACTTCATTTCCAGGAACAATTTTCTAAAGTGACAAACACTATGGGGAAATCTGTGCTAACTGTTAAAAACCCTACAAAGGAGTTATTTGCAGTACTGTCATGCTAACTTCCACCTCGATAAGACCGAAGAAATCTCAGGAGGGGACTCTGCTAATAGCTTCTTACTGACCTCCTTGCATCAGGCCCTTCTGGTGAATGGTGGCCCAGTGGTGAATATGGCAAATGAGGTGTGAAAGCACAGATTTTTTTTTAAGACCATGGTTCTGACTCGTCAGGGAAAATAAAAAAAATTAAAAAAGAGAGAAATGAGTTATACAATAGATATATTTTTCCCCTAGAATTCACTGCCTCAGACCTTCCATCATGGAAACCCAAGCATGACCTAGAATATTAATTGTGTCAGGTCAAGCATACTGGCAAATGTACCATTTGTTACCCAGTCATCCTTAGCATTACATTAATATTTTGAATCATTTTGCATTTCTAACACTCTATCATTTAGTTTCCTCCCAAACATTTTCTTATCTATATAATTAATGGTGGCATATAAAGAAAAAAAAATCATAAGAAAACAAATATTAATTTCATGAACATCAGCAAAGGGGTTTTTTTTTTATATTCTGCATTGCTTCCACCTCTAATCCTATAGTCTATGCTGTAGGATATTCATTTTTACCTTTTCCTGTTTATCATTTCTACATGGAGAGAAAGACTCATCTGTATTTGCCTTATAATACAACAAAGAAATTTTTAAGTATCTTGTCTTGAAAGCTAAATTATGTAGGAAGAGAGCAGCAAATGAAATAGAAAGAAGGAAAGAAGAAAGGAAAGAGAAAAGTGCAGGTAGAAGGAGAAAGATAAGGCTGTGTTGATTATGCTGCATAATTCCTCAGAAAAGATTGGTGGTACCAAGTGGTATAATAAAATGGGAACAGTTTCAGATGCTGCAATTTTTATTTTTGAATTAATTATT